AAGTGAGTCAAGAAGCAAAGCAAGTGGGCCAGGAGCAAGTGGGTCAGGAAGCCAAGGTACTAGGAAAAGCAAAAGAGTTGAAAGTAGGAGTTCAAGGAGGAGTTCAAGACTGAAAGCAAGTGAACAAGTCTTGGGCACTCAAGAAAGTGTTGCACACAAATGATGATTGATTTGTCTGTTTGAACAAGTATATGTATTTGGATAAGACTGTGTTATTGTGCTTGTGTGTGTTTTTGGGGGTTTTGTTATGAATATGGATTAAGAACAGTTCTGTGACCATGTTTTGGGGATTTTGTTGTTTGAAATGATGTCAAACACTTGTATTTGCAGGTTGCCTATGAAATGAAACAACATTTGTGTTATTTAATCTGCTGCTTGTTGTGTTATGTTCTGTTTATTGCAAATTTTTTGTTGTTAATTTCATAGGCAAATTTTGGTTGTTCATTTTGGGATTTACACAGGCTAACCAAATGGTTAAAGTACACTTGCTCTCTTACAATGCTAAATGGAGAGACAGAACCATTTGCAGACCTCATCTCACTGCCCATAAATTTGCTTCATACTGTTCTCCACTAATAATCACACCAACTAAAAAAAAGGATTGCACTTTGCAACAAAATACAAACTTACTAACTGCCAAAACATTGTTACATTACACATAATCCATTAAATCATCCATAATCCATTAATCCATTCAAAACCTATTGTGTTCTTCAGAGGATTACAACTTCAATTTCAACATTTCTTCAGCAAAAACAAAACTACATTACACCTTCATTTCAGCATTTCTTCATAGGATTACAACTTCAATTCAACATCTTCATTTTCTGTCCCTTTCCATCCTTACCAAACCAACCCATAACAGCAAGAAGAGCAGCTACAACCAAGCAAAAAATGAGAACATTCATCTTCTTATCTAAGGTTTGCAAATGAGTATCTACTGTGTTCTTAAGGGTCAACATGAGTTCTGCATTTTTTTCAGCTACAACTCCAAGCTCATTCACCCTGCTCTGAAGCTCCTCCACCATGTCAAAGTTTTCATCTTTCACATCTTCTATATCCATTTTCTCCATGCCCAGCTTGCACCTTAGTTGTTCCTCTAAATCCTCTTTCTCTGCCTTCATTCTTAAAAAACATGACTTCTGAAACTCGGGCAATGCCGGATCA